GTCCTTGACCTGCTCGTGGCGGTGGCTTTCCGACCTCGCTCTCGCCCTGACGGTGAAGTTGATGATGTCGTCGAGTGTGCGGCCCGAGGGCGCCGCGCGCTTCCTCGACCATTCGCTTTCTGGACGGACAGGTGGCGGCCGCAGACCTTGGACCGGATGCCCAGCCACAACTCGTTCTTCTGGGCCGACTCGCCGACGGCTGGCTCGCCAGACCCGATGAGGCGCTTCTTCTCCTGGCGCACGACGTCGCCGGTGAGGACGGCCTCCAACATGCCGTACCACTCGAGTCGCTCACGGTTTGCGGGGTCCTTGACGTCCTCGTCGGTGGGCTGAAGGTCGTCGTTGCCGTAGAACATGATGGTCTCCTGCTCATATCGATCTTCGTAGGGGCCATCGGACGAGGGCGTCTCGCCTTCCGAGTCGGAATCGCCCTGGTTCATGCCGTTGGTGTAGCCGTCAAAGGGGTAGCCGTCGCCGTAGTCTTGCCTCAGACGCTGCACGTAGGCTCTCTCCTGCTGGCGGAAGCGCTCGCTGGGACGGGGCCGTGAGCGAGAGCTGCGGACCGACTCGATGAAGGACGGTGCGGGTTGGGGCCGCCTCTGGGGGGCATATGTGCTCGAAGGTGTCCTCGCAGGACCGCCGGGCCTGGTGTTGGATTTGAGGGAGCTGCCGTTGACGGCAACGTAATGACCGCCGTTGAGGTCCCCCGTCGAGGAGCGCATGCTTCTGCTGGTTCCGTTGGTGAGTGCCGTCTGGACGAGAGAGGTCATGGAGCCGGCATGGGCCGGGTCGTATACGGAGAGGGCTGGCAGTTCGTCGTGGCGTTCGGCGGCGTGAGGATCACCGTTGGGGGATTCGGCGGAGGAAAGGGAATTGCTGGACTCGAGGACTGCGATGGCGGAGGATCGTGGCGACTTGATGAGCTCGGCGCGTGCGTCTTCCTCGCCGTTGGAGAAGCGCACATTGCGGGGGGAGTGTTCGGACGGCATGCCGGCTGCTTTTGATGTGCCCAGAAGAGAAGGAGACAGACTCGGGCGATGAAGAGATGGGCAGGCAGCCTGCGGTCGTCGAGCAAAAAGGCACTCGTCGATGTGCAAGCGTGCGTGATCGAAAGCCAGCAGGCAAGAAGGTTTCGGGGCAGGGGGGCGTGGAGGCAGGCAACTCGAGGTTCGTGATGGGCGTTCATTCAAAGTCGAGTCAGATTGGCCGGAAGCGGGTTTGTCGTAGGGCGACAAGAACTTTGATAGCGAGTCGCGCGGGGTCCGGCGGCCGACGAGTGGGAGGAGCCCAGATTAAAGCCCAGCCATGTGTATGCACTGAGCGTGTGAGAAGGTCCTGAAGAAGGAGATGAAGAGCTGTTGGCGATGCGTCGAATGGGGGAGGGGGGGGGGGAGGAAGGACAGGCACGAAGGCGGAGGACGTGTAGAAAGGGACAAAATCGAGGATCACGAACAGTTGACAACGGCAGGGCCACACCAGTATCAGTATCCGTACCTTTCGCGGCAAGGCCAGGTGAGACAAGGCAAGGCAAGGCAAGGAAGGCAAGGCCAGGTGAAATTTGGGCGTCTGCGACCGGGGCCGGGGGGGGGAGCAGACGCCCCAGGAGGGTCGTGCCACGTTTCGATTGGATGGTCAGGCTAGCTCCCCCCCGGCTCAGTGGCATCGTTGTAGTGGACGACCCCCCCGAGGGCCCTACAGCAGTCCCCCAGGTCCCCTACATGGACCGCCTGGAAGGGGGAGCTCTTGAGGGGCCTTGAGGGGCCTTGGGGCTGCTCGCCCTGGGAGACAAGAAGGCAAGAAGGCAAGAAGGCGGCACGAGTGGGTCGGCGATGGGCAGCTGCTTCTCCCAGGAACCCCCCGCCGCCGTCGAGATCGCCGTGGCAGGCTGTCATCGAGGTTTGGGTGCACGAGCCACCTGTGGCCATTGGCTGCACCTGCACCGCCAGCACCCTGAACGAGATGAGCCACGCGTGGCGAGGGAACACGCATGCATGCCTTGCTGGCGCCCTTACTGTAGTATGTACTACATGTAAGTACCTTGGTGCATGGTAAGTACATGTAAGTACCTTGGTGATGGTAAGTACATGTAAGTACCTTGGTGATGGTAAGTACATGTAGGTAGGTACCTTGGCATCCCACATCTGGCGTGTTTCCTCCGACAAGTCTTGTGCTTTGCCTGTCTGCCACCCTCCAACAAGACAGCAGCAAGAGCAGCCAAAGTCAACAATCGTCTCCTGGTTTGGGTCCTGGTTTGGGTCTCGCGGCGATCGCGCTCTTCTTCCCATCGCCTCTGTGTCTTTCACTCTTTCACGTGATGATCAAGGTGCCGGATCGATCTAGATGTCGTCTGTTGCTTGATCGATCGCCCAGATGCTTCGCCATACCAGTTTCTGTATGTCCATTGCCAGCCTGGGCTCGTGTCTCGTCTGTGGCTGATGGAAAGCTGTGGTCTGAGGAGCAGATAAGATAAGATAAGATCAGAAATAATTTTGGTGCATCGGCCCACTCGACACTGGAACCTCGCATCATGTCGTCCCATCGCCGCAGGCTCGACGCCTGCCTCACCTTTTGAACCTCCTTCTTCGCTCACCCACCTTTTGGCTCTGTCCCCGTGCCTCTTTTACGGCCAAGTGATCCCAGAAATGAAGCGCAAGGCTGACGCACAGGCCGACAAGAAGGCCTCCAAGAAGAAGAGGAGCAAGTCTGGTCAGTTGTCCCTCTTTCTCTGCCCCCACTTTGTGAGCTCAAGAACGAGCTCAAGAACGAGCTCAAGAACGAGCTCAAGAACCATCTCCTTAGGACATCCATCGTCCGAGTAGCCAACCACTTTCCGCTAACAAAAATGCAGCCCTCTCGGCCGCCGACGCCAAGTCGCGCTTCCGCCAGGGCCTCTTCGACCAAGAGGTCCTCCAGTCCTACACCGACGAGTATGCCACCTCAAGCCCGTACAAACATGCCGTGATCCACGAGCTCGCCGACGACAAGCTCCTGCGCAGTGTCCGCGACGAGATTCGCGAAAACGTCTCCTTCACGCCCAAGGAGACGGACATTTACAAGATCCACCAGTCGGGCGACCTCGCCAACCTCGACGGCCTCGACAACGACGCCCTCGCCAAGCTGCCGTCGCTGCTGGCCCTCCGCGACGCCATGTACTCCGAGACGTTCCGCCACTACGTCTCCCACATCACCGGCTGCGGGCACCCTGAGCGGCCGCAAGACCGACATGGCCATCAACGTCTACACGCCCGGCTGCTACCTGCTCTGCCACGACGACGTCATCGGCTCCCGCAAGGTCAGCTACATCCTCTATCTCACCGACCCCGACGTGCCCTGGAAGCCCGAGTGGGGCGGCGCCCTGCGCCTCTACACCGTCGACGAGAAGGAGGGCGCCGGCGGCGAGGTCGCCAAGACGCCCGCTGCCAACTGCACAAAGGTCATCCCGCCCGCCTGGAACCAGCTGTCCTTCTTCGCCGTCCAGCCGGGCGAGTCCTTCCACGACGTCGAGGAGGTCTACGACGCCGCCTCGCCCGCCGAGCTCGCGCGCCAGGGCGGCCGCGTCCGCATGGCCATCAGCGGCTGGTTCCACATCCCCCAGCCCGGCGAGGACGGCTACGTGCCCGGCGCCGAGGCCAAGCTCGCCGCCAACTCGGGCCTCATGCAGCTCCAGGGCAACCCCGACCAGCACGACGCGCCGCGCGCCCGCCCCGTCGCCGTCCCCGACAAGACGGCCCCCGGGCTCGACGACTTTGACGCCGCCGACCTCGACTTTCTCGTCAAGTACATCGCCCCGACCTACCTCACGCCCGACGCCCTCGAGCAGATGGCCGCCCACTTTGACGACAACTCGTCCATCACGCTGCCCAACCTCCTCTGCAACAAGTTTGCCGCGCGCCTGCGAGCGTACGTCGAGGCGCAGGAGCAGGAGCAGGAGCAGGAGC